GTGAGCTACGCATGATTTTTACCTTTATAAATGGTTGAGAAAAATCAAAAGAATATTTCATGACACATGAAGATTCTACAAAAGTCTAATTTCAATGTCAATAAATAAACTTTTGTTGGAACATAGCCACAGTCATTCCCTTTCGTGTTGTGTGTGGCTGGCCACCTTTGTGCTACAACAGAAGTGAATAGTTGAGACAGACCACATGACCCACAAAACATTAAATATTTGTGATCGACTCCTGGTAGAGATGTTAATCTGTACAAAACTGGAAATAGCCTAAGAACCCACGAGGATGCTCAAAGAATGGAAAGCTGTCAGCAGGCGGGTGAGATTATGCTTTACTAATGGGTTAAACTGCTAACCAGAAGGCTGGCGGTTCAAACCCACCAGCCACTCCTCAGAAGGAAGGTTGGGCAATCTACTTCCATAGTGATACCGCCTCGGAAACCCAAGAAGGGGTGGCTATGAGTCGGTCCGACTCGACGGCACCTGACAACAGCAATGGATTAAACGTCCTCTCAGCTCCGGTGTCTGTCAGATCTTTGAAGGCGCCTCTTCCTAGAGCAGGCTGAGCTTGAGGTAGAGTCACTAACACATGATGAGTGCTTAAGGAGGAGGAGATACGTGAGTAAAGACCCAGAGGTGAAGATAAACAAGACCTGACCATGCAACAGGGAAGAAAGTGGCCTGAGCAGACTGGCGAAGGGGATGGAACCAACGAAGAGTTAAGTTTGCAAGGCGGCCATATTGATAGTAGGCAAAGTTAGTCAGCTTTCTTTATCCTGCCTAGGTTTAACCCTGCTTTGACTCTGCTGGCAGAGAGACAAGACCAGGACAGTACAGGTGTGAGCAGGGGCCCTCCGTAGTAGAGGAAGGAGCCCTGTGGGAGTCCTGGGTCTGCAGGGTCCCAAGAGTGTGAGGCCGGGCTGTCACCCTTCACCCAGGCACCTGGGCATTCTGTCCAGAGATCCAGAGTGGACTCAGGGACCCACAGACAAAGGCTTATCTAACGGACAGTTGGAAAAAGTTGGTATTGTCAAAACAAAGAAATTGTTAGAGAAGTCTGAATCTGAAGCAGTGTTTAGAATACTTTCGGATTAATTGTCCTATAAAAAATATGAAGTATATAAAGACATTAAAAATTCTCCCAGATCCTATCTGAGGGGGAGCTGCTGGTCGCACAGTGGGGCGCATGCTCTCAGAGGTCTAGGTCTGGTTGTAGCCATGACAGCCATGATCCGGGTACTGGTCTAAGCACAGTCTGTATGATTTAATCTGTGATGGAAACGTTGAATGAGGCAGCTACTGCCATCCCATTTTACAGAAAACTGCGGTTGGGGAGGTGAAGCAACTTACCAGGTCACGCAGCTGCACGAGCGCATCTCTGCACATAACCTTAGATGACGTGGGTAGTTGGGCTCGTTTTGCTTTCCAGGCATTTGGTTTTGGTTCGGTGTGTCTCCTGCACCTTCTCACACCCATTAGTGAAGGTAACTCTCACCCGATGCACACGGCTTTCCGTTCTTCGAGCGTCCTTTGATGAGCACCCCTAGCGGATGGATGCGTGGCTGTTTCCAGTTTTGAACACGCTAACATCTTTATGGGAGTGTCCTTGTGTGTTATCTACTAGGGATGAATTTCTGGAAGTAGGAGTGCTGGTTCTGAGAGAATGCAAACCTAAACACTTGATAATATAATCAAAATGCCCTCTGGAAAGTTGATACAAGTTGATACGCTCACACTTTTACTAATCATGAGACTTGCTGGCGGTTTTCTCATCTTGGCCCATCTAAGAAACAAAAAGTATATCCTTTTGTTTAAAGTGCATTTGTTTGCTGTTGTTTTTATGTGCCATCGAGTCGGACCCGACCCATAGCGACCCTTCCTTGGGTTTCTGAGGCAGTATCACTATGGAAGTAGATTTAGATTGTCCCATCTTCCTTCCGAGGA